TATATATATATATATATATATATATATATATAAAACATTTCCCGAGCCTTGCTTATAGCAGGCGCCATAATGATCCCTGTATTTAGCGCATCTTTTGGGTCATCTGCTTCACATTAAAGATAGTGCCTGTAGATATTTGAGTAGGGTGACACAGTATTACATGAGCCCCAAGAATGCCGTCAAGACTTTATCACGGTAACTGTTTCAAGTCGATATGTTGCTACACGTTAATCGACCAATGTTGCAGGTACGAACAAAGATAAACACAGACAGCAAGATCGGAGCTGACGGTATTTCGCTTCTGTATAAAGGTAGGATGTCTAGTTTGACGGAACAGTAAAGCGAAAATAATAAAAAGTAAATAGGCGGACTTTGCTATCATTTTGCTGTTCGCTTCGCCCATTCAGCAACGGTACCGTTTCAGTACATACTTGCCATGCAGTTCGAAAAAATCACACGGGTTTAGATAAGGCCAGTTAGCCCAAGCTTAGTCCGCAGCAATCTAAAAAAGACCTTCCGGTCAATAATTTTGCGCCCTAATTAGCTCTTGTTCAATTCAGCAGTAGGCACTCATCTAGCAACCCAAGGATTATGGGCTTCATACAGTGACCAATTTTCACGTACCGCAGGTACAGGTAACTGCGAACCAGAGCTTCCTGAAAACTTGCCTGCCTGACAAAGCCTGGGTGAAGTTTGTACATGCATACATACACACACACATGTGGCCGCTAACAGAAGTGACACCTATTGCCAAATTTGCCGGAGTATTCCTTTGAAGTTGGAGCTGAAATACACGTTCAACCGAAAAGATACTCGAAATATTTATCATGCTGTTCCCCGTAAAGTGCGAAGACGCAGCCATCGGAGAAACTGTACTTCTCAGAGGGAGAAGCAGCAGACTAGTGACCTTTCACGATGGTCCGACCGCCAGGATTTGTGGACTATCACAAACGTAACCTTCGAGAAACCAAACATGGACTGTCCACACTGCCGACGGTCCGGCGCACAATCCTTAGAAGACGGCAAACGCACGTCCGTCCCACACTGACCGCCTTCTCCCTTTGATCGCATACATCGCCGATCGACGGTAATCACCCACTGGTGTATACCCTCAGTCAGGTGGCCACAATCACACTGGTAAGAAGGCTAAGTACCTTACACCAACATACGGTTGCTGTTCCTGACGATATTCATCTCAGGAGTCTCACCACCACCATCTCAACAGCATCAGTATTCGACAGTGATGTTTCGCTACCCAGGATATGCTAATCCCTACCAGAAGATTTGACTAGGCTCCTGCTCTTATGCAGCACTAAATCGTCGTTGGATTCATTACCATCATCGGCTTTAAGACATGCACGTCGTACTATAACTACAGTTTCCATACCATGCACTTCACACGTTTTACATTATTATACTTCCCTACATCAGAACCTGCACTTATTACCAGACACGGCTAAAGCCCAATTTACAGTTATTCAACCTGCATTGCACATGAATTCCGTCTGATAGTCCCGTTTCCAGATGATCTAGGGGAAGAAGCGGATTGCTACGCATTGAGGATAGTGGCTGATATAAGCGAGATGGCTCAGTGGTTAAACCGCGAATTTACTGATCGGAAGTTCCGTGGTTCGAACCCAAACACTGTATCGCGGCTTCCGACTGGGCATGGGCAACCTGGCAGTATTTCAACCCTCATGCTTCCTTCGGGTGGCATGGAAGCTAGGCACTGAAAGGGTGTTACAACTGAATGATTATTATCAGTGGCAGATATCGTTAGTGAATAAACCAAAAGTTGGCAGTAGATTTTTCACTGAGAGTATCTGGAGAGTAAGCCATGGGCTGACGGCTATGCCTCGGACGCTTAGGAACCAATGGGCCATATTTATCATTGTCATGTGCATTGGAGCCCGCATTTATGGAGATGATAAAGGCCGGCGCAGGTGCGTTTGCTTACAATTGCTTCTGTATTCCGTCGGCAATTCATCGATTAGTCCCCATTGAATCGCACCAACTGCACGCATGGCTGCAGGAAGAGTGCTCCTCGAGGAAGATAGCTGTCTGGCATGAGGCACTTGACTGTAATCCGTGGAGTGTCATCATCTCACCTGTAGTGAGCGAATAATCTCCCCCGGTTGGTATTACTGATCCGGTGTTTCAGATTTCACAGGTGACCTGAATATACGGATGTTCAAGCAGCGGATTTCTACAATTTTTAGCTCACAGTAACCGAGTTTTCTTACCCAGACGATATCAAGCAGACCGCTGAATTGTGTGCTCGACCCCTGACAGAAAGCTAACGTCATATTGTCTCTGAAAGACTCAGGCGTGGTCTTAAGGTGCCTTGAGGTGCCCAGGACGAACTTCGCCCGCTCACATTTTGCTTTCCATGTATTGATGGTCTGAAAGCAGCAACTCGTAAAATAAATGGCATGGCTTAGGGATGATTACATCTTTTCGGATTGGATTCCGAACAAGCTCAGGGACACTCGGCACCAAGGGCGATGCCTGTCATTAGAATCGACAGGCTGCGATTCTAACGCTGACACACTATCAAGACCTATTCGGACAGATTCGCAAAGCAAGAAGCACTAACAATATCAACTGTGCTGATAGTATGAATGCCCAGGTCGGTCCTATGGAATCACACTTGGGTGATCGATGCTCACAGAAACAGTTGACAGAGGTCGAGACCCCAATTTTACGCTGACGAACAATCTCACCGTGTAGGTTTAAATCAGCTGCCGATGGAGTTGCAACTCAAGAATGCTGGCTCTTCCGGAGAACAAACTGATTCCGAGTGCGAGTCCGTCTTTCAGTTTATTTTCCTTCGTGTTCTCGCAAATCGGCAAGCGTCAGTCCTCCACATTGCAACAGTATCGTTCTGAGCCAGCTCAACGATGTCCGGCAGCGGACCAGCCAGTATAACCCTTAGTGCTGTTGTAGTAGTAAATTTCAACAACCAGCCCATATATAATGCCGCTTTCCACACATCAGTGAAAACTTTTGCCCTGATCATCAGCTATTTTCGTGAGAAATGTTGTCCCCCAACGGTAGAGAGCGTTGACATCTAATTTTACAGAGAAGACAGAACTTCCAATCCAGCAATCTACCGACCTGTCACTGTTGCAAGATCCCCTCGAAGGGTTATGGACCCCACTGTCGCCAACCATTCACTGGCCTACATTGAAACCCATATCATGCCAGCTAGCGAAAAACACGGATTTGGACTGAAAAGCCTTCTGCGTCAGAGGACTAGGTTTACAACGATCACTTTTACTTTGATTTTTTTAATAGTGTTTGATCGAGTACAGCACGGCCTGCTCATTCAAAAACTTGCGATGACTGGAGTAGATCAAATTTCTGATGATAATTGCACGTCAACCAACAGGTCAGGACGGTTATGGAAAAGATCTGTAGTCTCCGAGTGTCTGGGAATAGGTTCCTTATTGTCCCTCAGACTCACAAATGGGACTCCAGCACCCATACATCCCGCTTCGACTTATTTGTGGATGAAGAAACACATGAAGTTCGTTCATCAAAGAACCAAAACAACCGTCAGGCCTAGATAGCGGTCTCAGCGATATTTCCTGATAAACCGAACGCATGTTGTGCAAACTCCTAGCCAACTAAATTAGGCTTCTATACATGAAATAGACAGTAAGAGGTATGCATGGCGCTTTCACAGACGTAAGATACTGTGTCGACGCGAATTCTTCGATTTTCTACCTCGGCACGAGCTGAGCTGCCAAACGCGCTATCGTTCGTGGTAGGTTCGGATCACACTCATATAACATGTATATTTGTCCCTTCTATTGAACCACTGCAGCTGATGTTACTGGATGTTTCCCACGACTGAAGTACCAAAACATCTGAATACGTTTTCTGATGACCTCGTTACGAATTCGTTGGTGTCATCCAAAGTCAGCAACGATTTTGAGGCATCGATGGTCGAGAAACTGAATGCACCCCAGGAAAGCCATTCGTAGAGGCCGTGTTTCGCAAAAACACAACAATACAGCCCTCACTGTAGTCTTGTACATGCGGCCCATTAGATCCAGTGACACGCCTTTCAGTACCAAACGATGAGAAACTAGGAGATACAACCAAGCACTAAAGATGCAATACAGCCAATTGGTTGCTATTGAATTATTCTAGTTATCTGAAGAAACTGGAAACTGAGCAACCAAGTGGTGAAGGATGCAGGATCGCCACTGGCTGTGTAATTGAGTCACGTCTGCGTTGAGTGCTGGGGTCCCCAACCAGGAAAACGGTCGTTTTCAACCCGGCTGAGCTTACAGGCTGACGCTCTCATTGCTTTGTCGCCAGAACATGGCACAACAGATACTTCTAGACGGAGACCACCTTTATCGTTCCTTAGCGAGTTCGATAAACAAGAACTCAATTTGACTCATCAACACTGTTGCCCGGCTTCACCGTCCGTGTTAGATGGTAGTGGAATTTTCCCATTTCTGGTATGAGATGAGGAAATTCCTGAATGCTACAAGAATAGGACGTCATTGTTCACACCTTATTAGACCGCTTAGTCACCCTCTCAGAACTCGACTTGAATTTGTCACCCAGATCACGCAAGACATAAATATGCCCTCACATAAATGTTTCAGATGAAATATTCACTCACCGGAAATTCGGTTGCATCTGAATTGCCGTAGATTGTACCGTCCAAGGAGGTAATAGCCAAACACTTTAGGGCCGGATACTTGGTTAAATATTGCTGACACTGCTGAGTCCACGCGTCAGACATACTGGAAGACGACAAGGAGAGATCCACCGGACACAGGAACGGCTTTCACTCGACTTATGGCCCACGGTTTAGACCAGCACGCTGACCTTGTTGCAGTTAACCCGTTGATTGGTTCTGCTCTGAATGCAGCCTGCCTACGCAAGGGAAGGACCAATCAGAAGAAGACGAGATTATTGACGCGCCGGCAACCAATAGCCAGACCGATCAGTCAGCCTTGACGGGGGATGTAAAGCCGAGCAAGCCGTTGATTGGGCAAAGCTGCAGCCAAGGCAGCAGCCAAGGTAGGCCTCGTGCTTGTACCGATAGGGCTGTGCGATTGCTCCGACAGCTGGTCGATTTTCCGTCTTATAGTTTGACCGGTTGTCTGCGCCGCTCCGCTGGCGTGACGAACACGATGAGTCGCACCGCATGCGGTGTTTGAGACGATAATGAACCTGCATTTCTGTTACTGTTGTGTGTACACCAATCGTTTTAAATCGTTTTGTAAAACGATTCGCAGATTTTCATAAGGGGAGCTTCACAATGTTGCTGGAAACTCTTCGACTGGTTTCGCACTTCTTGGGCTCATTATTCCCCGAGTTTCCGTCAAAATTATGTTCTACCTGCACAAAATTCGACAGCTACACTCGTTTGATGGGAGACTACCTGAAATCCATCTGGCACTCTTGCTTATACCGTTCTTCAACTGAATGTGCTGTACAGGGACTGCCTCATATTTCAGCTTGTACGATATTCGAAGAGTTTTAGCAACCTTGTAAAAAGCCGTTTATGAAAATATACTGTGCTATCTCGAATATCTTACCAACTGAAACATGAGTGGACACGGTGCAGCATATTCAACTGAAGAAGAGCATTGTACCTGGGATTTAGCTGGGTTTCAGGTGAGTTTCCCGTGAGGGCCAAGTTGGTACGCAAATGGGTGTATTTGTCGAGTCCAGAGGTTTATTTCCCAACGGAATACAAATCCGGTACTTCATGCAGAATTATGTACCGATAAGTCACTCACTCGCCCCCGCACCGATGTTTTCAACTCGGCTGGTGATTGAGCCCTTACGATCGATCTGCCAAGCTCGGTGAACAGACCAAAAACCGAGAGTTACCGAAAATTTATATGATAACTATAACGTGGTCCGCTAGTCAACTTACGCGATGTGCGATTTCGTGCATTACACGGAAACCGAAAGTGGTCTACTTCCGGACTCTTGCGTCACTCGGAAGAAGGGTTCACTGCTCGTCGAAAAGGGCTTCAGTCCATTCGAATTACCTTTTTGTGAGGTTTCCGTTGGTCGGCCAAATATCCGAATAATATCGATAAAAATACATGAAAATTTGCCGCTGAACTATCTCTGCACGTCACTTCCGACAAATCGGGTCCCGTACTTACTGCGCAATGCCAGCTCACTTAAGTTTTGATAGTCCCGGAGAAAATCTTCAATATCTTGCAAATCAAATCAACTCAGAAGCAGCCCTTGAAATAGACATATGAAGAGCAATATGAACGAGAGATTCGTTCGGATTTGAATCGAATCTTTCGTCTAGCGATTGAATTGGTGTTTTGTTCAGCGTCGGTAACTGAAGTATCCCCGATTCGTGCAGGTGCACTTTTGATCAACTGAAGTGGTTCCCAACTCTCACAAATCTGGCTCATTGATGAATAGATAACCAGACTCCACAATTAACCCTGAAAATACACAGTGCAAGCTTTGGCGAGGGTTATACGCCTCGTCAAATGAAGTAAAGTTGGTGTTCGTCTAAACCGATGAATTTCTGACATAAGAGCTTAATATTTCCCGTTCAAACGCAAGCACTGCAGACATTGAGGAGAAAGTATACTTTTTGTTTCCTACACTCAACACATTCATACACTACCGGGCGGTATCCTGACACGCTCCTCCCCAGCAGGTAAGGTTTCAGGAGCCAGGTGATGAAGCCAGTCCCTTCCTTACATAAAAAGATCATACTGACTTAACCCGTTCATTCCGTCAACCCTTGAGGGGTTTTTACTCACCAGCCTGAAGTGACCTTTGTTTCCATGCTCCACAGTCCACGCAGGACATTGTCCTCGACCGGTAAATTTACTAGCTTTTACAGTTTTTTAGGTTAGGAACTTTGGTTCGTTTGGCAACTCTCCCTGTAGCACGTTTCCTCTTTTCTCTTTTACACCCTTTGAATCTGCTGCTTCTGTGTAGTTTTACCTAGAAGTTGCATATCAAACGTGGTAGCTCGTGACTTAGATACAATCAAACGATGTGGCTACATTGGATACCATAGAACAATATGCTAGTTGAGCGTCTTGGAAGTAGTCTACATCAGCATTGGTTCGGTTCACTCAAATCGTTCTCTCCAGAGGGCACTTATTGGTGAAGGGCCGAGTTATTGCTTCATTAGTGTGGGAGATGCAGCAGAGTTGTTAGAAAATCTATGGATGCTTTTAGGAATTTCAAGGATAACTAGAGGAATACTTGATATGGAACAATTGGTTTATTCTATTCGCCTTCATTCGTAACTGAGTGAACAAATGGTGATTCACAAAGGCACACAGACATACAAATTGCATCCTTTCCCGTTTATTTTTTATTGGTATTTATCAAGGCGAAGCGATCGGATGAATTTTTGTGTTATCCTAAAGTACGACGGAAGTGTGGTGGTAGTGCTGAGACCACCTTAGCACCAGCATACGGGCTTCTGCTGGAAATTTGAGGACGCGCGAACCAATTTACCGCACCACGAGCTGTTCGAGGCAGACATAACGTTTCCCGCCTCATTCGTATTGGAAGCATTTTTTTCGAAATTTTGTCTACTGTTTGTAACAGTGGACGCAGGCTTGACGTGCTGACCATCGTCGGGAGAACTGACCACTGCAGGATAACACTCTTGTGGGGTCATACACCTTCAGATCGGGGCAAGCTTGGATATATGGCATTATGTGAAGTCTTAAGCTCCGTCGGTACTATGTTCGCCAGGTCTCCCACACTTGTCAGTTGACACTTCCGCACGGTATTGATCGGCTTATATCGCGCCGGGTAGGGATGCCACGGTGAACAGAAAACTCGTCTTTAGACTAGTGTTGTTTGAACAGTCCCTTCTTTCCAGGACAGTTTTTTTAGTTGCCTACTTGAAAGAACCAACACCTTCGGAATTTCATTTCCAGATTGTTGGACAGGATGAATGCAGACAATGACCTACAGATGTTTGTCATGACCTCTCTGGAAGCAGGCTATCTGCAGTTGGTTGCACCCTTCATGTGTTTACTACTCACGGCGAACCCGTAGAGAAACGTTTGGGAACTGGTGATCCACTAGTCACACTATGGTGGCATTTCTGTCCAAAAAATCAATGACAACTGCAGTGTCCGGATCCTACAACAGATGGTTTCGATGGGGGTGGTGCAATGATAGTACTAACACTAATGGCAGGAGTTGAAAAAACTTGAAACCCTCAGAAGCCGAGAATGTGATTTTAACGATTGTCGGTGTAACTGAAGTATCTCGAGTGTGAACGAAACGTCTGAGGTGGTAGGAATCATATTCCGACTAGCCGTTTCTGATAATAAATCGTCCTACACTGGTTTGAAATAGAACGGAGAAGTTTCCAGGTTAAGCAGTTCAGATTGTTAATTTTGTACTGGAAAGACCCTTCGTCCTAGAGTTTGCCTAACTGATTTGTGCTGAGACATGTGGAGGTTAGTATTCACGTCACGGTTTGATGTAAACACGTAAGTGCAGGACGGAGCTGAGAAACAGGTACAAACCGATTGCGTGAGTCTCGGGCCTTCCTCTTTTTTCGATGACAAGAAAGGTGCTCTGGTGGAACCTGTCAGTTGACGAAATCCAAAAGGAAAGCAAAGCGCCCACTCTAAAAAGCCTTTATTCATTTTTGCAAAGGCTTTATATTGATTTCCATCACACCCAATCACGCGGCATGCTTAGTTTTGCCTACAAAAATAAATTGTTTGCAAAGCTGTTACTTTGATTTATTCGGTATCATCGCCGGTTTGTTACAGTGAGTAGAGAAACGCATTCAAAAGGACAGTCAACGTAGTCAGTCGGAGCACAGTGAACGCAGTTTGCTACACTTATATATTCCCCGTAGGTTCACTTCCGGTGGCAGAATGTGTGGCATTAGTTGGCATTTAAATTGAGTTTATTGGTGTGAGCGTTACAGCTATCTCTATGGAGCCATGTTCTTACATAAAAAATCCCTTTACCCAGTAGGAAGCAGCTACTACACTGTAAGTATCTCAGAATTTAAAGGATGGATATGATAGTGTCGCTATTGATTTCGATATATATGATTTTGTTAACGGGGAGAAGGCAGCAAGTGCATGCGTATGGAGGTCTGCCTCGGTTACTAAGGCAGAGCCCAACTACTGGAACTCTGAGTGCACCATGAAGACTTGCAGATCTCTCAGATAATGGTGACCTAGACTGCAAGCTTCGTGGAGTTGCCTGTCCGCCATTAGGATCTGTAACCTGGTTGCGGCAGTAGTTGAAAAGAACGGAAGAAAAAGTACACCATGTGTTATACACCGACAAAGTGACGAATGAATCTAGTGGAATAGATCATATGGTCCGTCAACTTTCATAATATGAACGGTGATAAGTCTTGAGGTTCGACCGCACTGGACAAGGCGATGGTATTATATCCTAATAGCCATGAAAATGGGAAAATTCAAGACCAGATAATCGCTGAATACTACTTGATGATCTATCGTTACAAAATACTTACAGGGGAAATGGAACAAGCGCCTATAGTGATATGATCTACAGTTGAACTGTGTTGGCTTACTTAATGCGCCCAAACCAAAAGGTTCCAAAGATAAAATAACGCCTGTTGCATATAGATTAAATGAGTTGGTGCGAGCACGAATGTTGCATCACTGTGCTTGACAACTCGCTTTTGCAAACCGGAGCCTGTTTGGGGTATTTCAATGCTGGAGAACCATCCTTCAACATTTCGCAAATTAGGTGCTTTTCTTATATGAATATTAAACCGGTTCTGCCTATAAAAGCGTTCTTTCTGTGGGATTGATGTTCTTTTTGTATAGTAGGGTGTTTTATCAGCTTCCCCACACTTACTTCAGTTTAAAATGATGTGATTCGAATGA